AGTCGACGAAGTAAAACAAATGAATGTGATTACTAAGCAATACTTGTAGTACATAGTGTATGAGCCACCTAATCCTGAAAATGCGAAGTCATACAACAACTCCACATGCACGGGAAATAAAATGAAATACAATAAAATGACATTTCATATTTCTTCAACAGTGGGTATTATTCTATGCGGTGGTAAAAATAGAGATTCATACCAGTATATGTAGATAACATGCATCTTTGTCTCTCTTCCCAACATATAGAAGACAAAAAAGTAAAGCTCGAACGTGGCGTGAAAACATGAAATTTATATAGAAATCTTTTAATAGCGTCGACGTCTCACTTAGTCTGCAAAACGTCTTTATATGAAATCCATATCAATCTCGTTCCTACGCAAATGCGCCACAGTACATCAAACAAACAAACAAACACACGCACCCAGCCTGTCTGTCTGTCAGACTCTCTTTCTCATAAACAGACGAAAAAGAATTCCCCTTAATCACTGCACATTTCAAGTCATACGAAGGCTCAAGTGCTGCTTTTAGTGTCAATAAAGGCGGCCAATCAAGCGCGACGCCTGCTCCTTGCGCGGCGAATGAAGGTCCTATAATACGCGTCACGAAAACGATAATTATAAACGGAAACGGAAACGACGATAACAAGGTGTGTCGTATCTGTTAACCTCATTCCTCTATACACAAACAAACAAAAAACAAGCAAATGCATAAAAAAATAATCAAATCAATGACAATTAAGACACACTAAACGAAACGCTTACCAAAACTCTTCCTCCTCCAGCAAATCACAATTCACTGGTAGGGAAAAAAAAAGTTACGCCCCCACTCTAAATGCACCAAACATACCCAGGACGCGCGCGCACACACCCGCAACACGCACACACACACACACCACGGGAAGGGAAATGACTCATTCCCAACTACAACGAACCAGTTCAGGACAGCGGCACCCACTGACCTCTGTGCATTTTATTTACACATCTATTTATTTTTAATACCTCGCCAGCGGTGTGTTTAAGTCTCCTCCCGAATGGAGTTCCTCCGCACTGCACTTGTCACTCGTAATTTCAGTTGCCCTTAAAAGCTATTCTTGTCCTGCGCTTTGATATCAGGTTTCCATAAATAAGTCTCAAATCCGGTGATAATACCATCCGTATTTTTCATCCAACACTTTTTTTCCGAAGGGTAATTTGGTTCTCGAGACACTTTGCTCAGCGCAAAAAAACAAAACTTTGAAGTATCTTAACAAAACTATTCCAACATTAAAGTGCGAAGTAAAGAAAAAGAAAGAAAAAAGAAGTAAAAATGCTTTTCCTCAACCCCACGTCCTAAAACATCTTCGAACTCTTTGACCTCTGTTACGAAATCTCATAAGTATCTAAATGTCTCGAAGCTTGTACTAAAACTCATTATTTTCCTAAGCTGAATGTTATACATATGTACCGGGAAATAAAGAAGTAAAAATAAAAACTGATGTTGAAAAAATCAAGAAATGTTATTGCCTTATAATGGAGCAACAATTTTTTATTCAAAAATAATTCTTAAAACTTTTGCAACCACAGAAAGTTGCACCCTAATCTAATTTGATTCTTTTCATCAAATTTCACAGGACCTGAATGGCGAAATCTAATGCACAAATACTAAAACATTCATATATTACCATTTCAAAATATACCCTATACGCATGTGATAAAGCACCTGCCTTATTGCGTTATTCACTGATAAGGTCTATCTAATGAGATAACCACACCTTATCATATGAAAAAAAAAACATAAATCTCTCAAATCTAATACTAAATTAACCCAAACAAATTCAATTATCAAAAAAAGAAAAAAAAATACCAAGATACAAACAAATTCTTTTAAACCTTGAAACGGTGGTCAGGTGACACTACCACCACCCAGGTCATTCTAGAAATAAAACCTCTGCATGAAAACCGGTATAAGTGGTAACTCACTTCAACTTTTATCATCAAAGTTTTCGGATAAGCCAACTAGTTCATGACTTTTTATGCTATTCTGCTAAACTACCATGTGAATAAAGCCAGTCAGAAGCATAAGAAACAGTGTTCTTTATCATTACTGTACATGTTATAGGGAAGTCAAGATCAAGGTGCCACAAATTCTTATGTAAAGATATTGTAAAAAGAAATAAGAGCTGCAGATTTAATTCCAAAATGAAGAAACTAAATAACCATATGTAAAAAATATTTTTGACTACTTTCACCTGTTCAATATATGTACCAAGTAAATTGACTGCAGAGAGCATGAATAATTTGGCGTTTCTGATTGGCCAAAAGAAGGGAAAATCTAGTAATTTCCATAACCAAAGATTATATGTATACATTGTGTGTGTGTGTGTGTGTGTGTGTGTGTGTGTGTGTGTGTGTGTGTGTGTGTGTGTGTGTGTGTGTGTGTGTGTGTGTGTGTGTTTGTTTCCAATGACTTATCCATCCCATTTGCATATTCACAAAGTGCCAAAATAACCACAATTCTAGAAAATGGTTTGGTGTCATGTGATCGTTTCTTGCCAGCTCTTCTGAACATGTTACATTTTTTTTTTCTGTTTTCTAACTATCCTCACACGACATTACAAATGTTCTATTACTTCCTCAGAATATTACTACATAATACATATTACTATCATCATTTTTTAATTCAACTGCATGATTTTAATAAATGTATTCTACTAGATTATCATCACACAGTATCTGTAAAATAATCCCTATCTACTTGATTGTGATGCAAAATGCCCTGAATATGCTGCTAATCTCATGAAGTTGAAGGTAACAATTGAACTTTCAAATAATCTAATATTTTGTTTTGGTAAAATTACCATTCTGGATATATGCTGCAGAGTATAAATACATTGCAAGACTAACAGTACATAGAATTTATACATTGGGAACTTCTAAAAGGCCTTTTTTCATACAGCTGTTTATGCAAATTGAAAATTAATTAATTAATATAAACAACCCTATGACTCGTGTTCAAGCAACTTCCTGCGAGCAAAGTCAACAAATCAAGACACACACTGGCAGAACTGAGCTTGGAGAAGTCCTATTTTGGATATTAAAGCTGTCAGACTTTAGGAATCCTGGGCTGAATTACCTGCTTTCAGAATGGAATAATAAATATACAAATAACAAATAATAAAGAGCATAAGACTCCACATTAATAAATCCCCTGCAGCTTGTGCTTTCTGATCCAACAAAATCTCCAATTCCTATGTTACAGCACAACAAAGCTTCCACTGATGGACAATATATATGCCAGGGAGGTTTGCAAACTCTATCCTGACTGAAAATATAGTAATGGTCTTCTCTGGAACTCTATGAAGCCCAGACTCCATTAATCCACCTAAGTCCAGGGTTGGATGAGTACATATTGTCTAAACATTTGCTAGGAAGAGAATTAGACTTATTTCAAAGACAGCCTCTCAATGGACTTAGTATTCAGTGGCAGAGACAAATTCACCGTCAAAATATAGAACTTTAGACTCCCTGTAAATCAACGTTGGTGATTTATGAGGTGTGGCCTCGTGGTTTTAAGGAATCTTTATCTCAAAAGCGGATTAAAAATGAAACATTGAATTTTACATTCTTTCACTGATTATACTGAAGTATCTTCGGTGCAATCTATAGACAATTCCCAAATGGTGTCCCGAGATTTTTTTTGACTAGTTGACTGAACTCATATGGTGACCCAGTAACAATTTAGAGGAAAAAGAAAGAAAACAGAAAAAGCAAAAGAAAAAAGAAAAAGAAAATGTCAGCCAATACATTACTAATGATTTGTATCACTTCCCGAACTAACACAAGCACAACACAGGTAACAATTTGTGAAATCTATATCACTGTTATCTCAAATGTACATCAATAAGATTTTTTTTTCTGGTTGTGCAACAATATACAGACATTACATAAATAAAAAAACTATACATATATAGGTTTTCTATATTACATATATATTATGTATTATATATTTTATATATATATACACATACATATACATACGCATACACATACACATATATTACATACATACATATATAAAAAAAATAAATAAATCCTGATTATTACAACTTCTTACAATCCTATTATATGATTATTATATGGTAAACCTACAGAATAAGACCACGCCATGCAATGCTGTGGCCTCTACACGTTACGCTCCTTCAAAGGCGTATCTTGCCGAAGTACATTCAAGCAAGATACGACCCTCAGCCTATGGTGTTCTATGAGCCCTACCATGCCAGAATACATTTAATGGTTTTGTTGGGCCGTATTGGAGAGCAAGGTGGCCTTATAGTATCCGTGAGAGGCCACGTTGGTCCGTCTCGATTGCGCACAACGAATCGTACATTAGTGAGGGTGATTTTGGTTCCATCATTCGAGGGAATTGTTGATTTTCTGTGTGTCTTTAGCCCACTCTTCCTCTGGACAATGCATGTTATCATTACTTTGTTTCTATTTATTACAACTACATATTTCTGCTATTATTACATATATTCAGAGGAAAGGGAATTAATTCCTTTCATTACAACTTTTCTTTCCTTCTTTCCTTTAATTACCACAAATATATAAAAAAAAATACATATATACATCAGCTGCCTGGAAAATAAAAAGGTAAATTCATCTTCATTCCTCCTTAATTACCTAATCTCACCTGTAATTTCCCCCCAAAATATACTTAAGAAGAAAAGTATCAAAACTAAAGGGGAAAAAAAATGAAATCTACTCGTATTACAACTTACAATTAAACGAAAATAAACCGACCAATGCTAATTCTCTCTCACTCTGTGCCGGCTAAATAAGCAAGGAACGAATCTTTAATTTTTTTTTTTTTTTTTTTACTTATTTCTACGAATTCTATCGATTTACACCAACTCGTGAGGTTATTCCAAATCAACTCTATTGCTACTTATCAAAGCTCGTCTAACTCGTCGATTCTGACTTAATTTACGAGGATAATTTAGGACTTTGGAATTTTTTACCTTCTGTGTTGCGTTGGTCGCCGTCGCTCCACTCGTCGAGGGCGCGTCCATTTTATCACTCTTTAAACACTTTATTTCCTTTTATTTCCTTCTCGAGGTATGACACAAGACACTACACAATAACCCGACGCACTCTCGAGGGATCGGGGTGGATTATTTACAGTGATTTGCAGGTGGATCGGGAATTATGTCGAGTATGTCGTGGGTCGCCATTTCCCTTGGCCTTTACATCGTAGGTTGTTATCTACGTGCATCGGCTCAGCCCGCGTGGTATCTGCAACGGGATTGATAGCTACGGATTCTACAGGTTCTGAGGAATGTTTATTGGAAGGCAAGAAGCTAGATTTGAGCTAGGTAGAGTTGAAATTTCACATGATAAAAAATTCCTTTATAATGGTGCTTCTGCTCATCAGCTCCATCAAGGAGGACTATGAGCTATGAAGGGGGTGGTCGTGTGTGGTATAAGATCTTACGCTTTTCTCCGCACTTTCCAGTATTTCAAGTATTTGGCCGCATTAGAGGTTCTTCTAAAGATAAAAAGTTACATTCAATAGTACCGAAATATGTTTTGATCGCTGAATAACCTCGAGTTTACCTGGTTTATGATTCTCAACTCCCACCGCCCTTCGCAGCCCGGCAAAACAAATGAACGCGCGATCTCCCAAATCATGGAGGGGGGGGGTTGGAGAGTAAAAGGGTTCTGATTCCTATATTCGACTCGAAAGATGCTATTCAACCCCCTTTATGATATACGAAATTTGATTCAATCCTAATTCAATCATTTAAAATTTTAGAGAGTGCCTTACTAAAGACTTTCGGAAATAATGCAGCTTCTCAAAATATCCTTAATCTCTAATTCTTTAAAAAATAAGTCAGACCCCTATTGTGAATCCTGAAAAAGCATCGCAAACCTCTTACAGAATATAGAAACTCGAACTTAAACCTTAAAATACACTTCAATCCCCTTAAAAGTGACGCGTAATGGAATTCGATCCTCTTTTAATAGACGCCATAGGATACGATCCCCTTCGAAAAAATGTAAACAAAGTCGGCGTCCACGATGTCCCTCCTCCGGTCTCTCGCAAGGCCCGTGTTGTCTGCAATTTCCCCTGCAATTTCCTGCAATGGCACAGCTTCTAAGACTTTATTACAGGTATAGATGGAGACATTATATTATTGTGTGTTTATAGGGACCAATCTTTTATTAGATCGTCTTATACTTTCCGAATTATCACGGGAATTTGTGTTGGTTGTTTACCTCGGGATTTTTTTTTTTTCATCTTTGAGATTATGCAATTTTACAGAGATGTAATGTATTTACAAAAGTCAAAGAATTTGGTTGTATTTATTTTTGTTTCGTATTTTATTATATTTTAAAGGGACAATGTGTAGTATAAGGTAGTGGCAATAAATCCTACATGTAATGTTAGAGCAATACAAACTAACACAAAGTTCATTTATTTAACAAAGTTCATTCAATATGTCTGCTAATGCTCCCTAAGGGTGCTATACGTATAAGTAAAGAGATCCCCAATTTTGACTAAGTCGCTTATCTCGTTTACATTGCAAGGGTGAATTCTAAACACGTATACTACCACCAGGGTCCAGGGAGCATAACCCCCTGGCTAGGGAATATATACCACGGTGTTGGGTTAGGTTGGGTGTTGAGTTAGGACGTTTTGTTTAACCCCTTCACGACGGGTGACGCCGCTAGGCATGAAAACAAACCGCTCCAAAAGTAGCATGCGGCTGTACGCCCCAGCGGCACGCCTAAGCACAGCGAGCCAGTGATTCAGCCTGATGTACCAAATTCACACGCTCAAAGTCGGCACACTATCATGGTTTGCCAGAGCGTAGAGTTTTTCTTTTTTTGTTTTCTTCACCTGTCACCATTGGGTTAACTACCACGGGGGTCCTGTTTTACCCCATAATTTCCTTGATATACTTCATGCCCTCCCTTGCTATCGGGACTATCAAATCAAGATTGTCAATGGAGATGATCCTATCTCCTCAACTATTCATTTGCACAAGAAACAATGCCTAGAATCATTGAAAGTAGTGGATTTCATGCAGAAAGATATCAAAATTGTTTTGAAAGTAACCCACTACCCTCTTCACATTTTCTACATATTGACTGGGGGGGGGGGTGGGGATCTTCTCTTTTCTTTTATGTATAGCAGCCTTGGGAAGCATTTGCACACATATTGCCATAGAAGAACTTTGTCTTGGTTTGTATTGTTCTATCATTTCATGTAGGTTTTATTACCCAACTTTGCCACTACCTTATACTACATATTGACCGCCACTATGTATAATTAGATATAATAGATAAAGAACAGATGAAGTGGTTACACATGGAAGTGACACACATCCTCGACCTCAACAGGTTCTCCTGGTCACCACCTTTCTATGTGGTAGGAATGCTGGAAAATTTTTAGGGTGGGACTACGTTTATGGCATCATACTGCGATGTCTATTGACTATTTTTTCTGAGAGTGCCGGTTGTGTGTGCACAGTGTGGAGTTCTCAGATTCACCTGTAATCATATTACTGAATCAATTACTATATTGTTTAACCCCTTCACAACAGGTGACGCCCATAGGCATGAAAACAAACCGCGCAAAATGTGACGTGTAGCTGTATGCCGCAGCGGCCAGGATAGGTTAGGTTTGGATTTTGGGTTCACATGAAACCCTAGTTGTAGGACTTCAGCTCTAGAGAGTGCATCACTCTTGGTAACAAATACCCAGGAATTCAATTGAAAAAACAAGTATGGAATGATTACCTCAAGGTAGATATAACCAGGTAACTCCACTTCCATTAAGTCTTTTTAACTCAAAAATAAAATTGACTTTTTCCCAAGAGTATTCTGATGGTTGTTAATGGTAAGGAAATCTGTTATCATAAATAAAAGAGAGAAATTTTGGATTTACTTCTGGTGATTATAAAAATTATTGAGTAAATTATGCCAATAATTATGTATCTAGCTATATCTGACATCTCACAATGCACTCATTAGTTAAATGTGATGATGTCATTAGCTCCACCCCTTTTTCTGACCCCAATAATCTGTGGCAGATGTTGCCAACTAAGATTTTCATGAACTTGGAGTGGGGATACCTGGTTATATGTACCCTGGGTTACCTTGATGTAAACAAACACTTTTCCTCTATGGCAAAATTTTTACATCTTGGAAGGAGATACATGACAGAGAAGAGAGAAGATCAGCCAATCTTTTTCAAAGTTCCTCACCATGTTTACATTGCTGTGATAAATACTATGACTGCATAACTTATTACTGCGATCTGTCAAACAGTTCATGTATTATGATGTTCTTGTGAAAACAATTATTTTGTAAGTATCAGTCCCTGCTTTTCTTAATTCATGTATTTAATGCATTTCTTTATTTTTGTTATATTTCTTTAACATGTTTTAAAAGTTATTTACGCTATTCGTCTGCACATACACATTTCTGCTACTAAGAAAAATAGAAACCAAGCAACTTAGTAGACAGAAGCAAAAAAGAACTTGTTGTTTTGCTATATAAATGGATATAATTTTCAGTGAGCTAATTATTTGTATAATCAAATATAGTATTTGATTGAACAAAATTGTGTGCCCCCATCCATTTTGAGTCACCTTGGGAGTCCAAGTAGCAGAGCCTCCAGGTTAGGTAGTATATAAAACAAATTGTATAAATCCCATAGAGGTCCATTGGATGAAGCCCCCCTGCCTTGGGAATGTACAGAATGTACTGTATAAATTCCATGGGGGTCCAGGGGGCAGAGTTCCCTGGCTGGGGAATATATAGAACATATTTCATAAATCCCATGGTTTTTGGTTAAGACATTTTACAATGCATATTCAGGAATGTGACTCTACCATGAACTGAGGACTATCTGTGGTTATATTTTTCTTTATGTACATTATTTTAGCAATTCTCTTTGATAATAGTAAGCACATTACCAAACAGATAGACTTCTTAACCCCTTGGTGCCGGGTGACGCCGATAGGCATGTAAACAAACCGCTCGAAAGCTGGCATGCAGCCAAACGAGCCGGCGGCAAGCCAGTGATTCGGGTTGACGTCCTGTACTCGCGCACTCAAAGTTGGTGCGCCACCTTTGTTTGCTAGAGTGTAGAGTTTTTTTTTTTTTCCTTTTGTACACCCGGCGTCATTGGGTTAAAATCCTTCTAACTACCCTAGAGGACGAAGTAGAAAATACATTCAGGTTATTATTAAGGTTAGTATATAGAAGATAAAAAAGTGAATTACTGACAGACTTTTTTCTTCTTCCTCTTCTTCTTCTTTTTCTGATTTGTTTAAGATACATGTTTTATTGTTTCATTTCTTTTTGTAGATTGAAGGAAGAAGCCATGCAGCATCCAGTCTCTTCACAAGCACTAAACTGAGATGCGAAGCTGAGGAAGGAGAGCCTCAAGCAGAACGAGACCCACTGAAAGACCGTTCCAAAGTAGTCCCTGTGGAGACCAGCGTGAAATACCTCAAAAGCGATGGTGAGATTACGTTTGGCAACAGGAGTTATTGTTGCTGTTGTTATTATTATTCTTGTTATTGTTGCTGTTATTATTGTTGATATTATTATTATTATTGTTGTTGTTATTATTATTATTGTCAGCATTATTCTTGTTGTTGTTGTTATTATTATTATTGTCAGTATTATTCTTGTTATTATCTTTATTATTATTTTATTTATTTTATTTTTATGTATTAATACATATAGAGATTTTTCAGGAAGGGTGTAAATTTTGTTTATAATTGTTAAGGGGAGAATCAGTTTTATTTATATTTGTGATGTAAAGAAGAATATATATATATATATATATATATATATATATATATATATATATATATATATATATATATATATATATATGTATATATATATGTATATAGATAGATAGATAGATAGATAGATAGATAGATAGATAGATAGATATTGATATATATTGATATATTGATATATTGATATATTGATATGTTATTATAAAGTTATAAAGTTTGATGATTCAAGACAGGACAGATGTGTATAGTTATTGTGATTATAGTTATTTTCCAAAGCTGAGAAATGAAGAGTTGATTGAAATTTATGTCTCCTAAGCCCAAGAACGGAACTTAAATCATGGAAAATTGTGCACAATTTGGATGAAATCTGAAAAACTTAGACATTTAACCCTTTGTGCTAGGATGTTATGACATACATACCATGTCCATTGTGATTTTATTTATTATGGTTACATATAGATGGGATAACAGGTACTTAGTCCTCAAGGAGTCTTGCTTATCTCACCTGTTGCCTCTTTTTTACATTTTACTACTATTAACCCATTGCCGCCGGGGAAAATGAATAAAAAATGGGGTAAATGCAGTACTTATTTTTTATATTTTTGTGAAATATCTCTGTCCATAGATGGCTCTGCTAGTCCTGATTTCACCTTTCCTTGAATTGGCGGGAAAAAACGTATTCTTACTAGTGTTATAAATATAGATGTTATTTTTAACAGCAAATTAGGATAACGTTAAATATTCTCGTAAATCAATGAAAAGGGTGAACGGGCAAGACAGGCAGTACTCGTAATTGGCTCATTGGATACTTAGTACAAGTGTAGCCATCTATGTGTAAAAATAATTGAACAAGTCGACTCACAGTGGGCATGGCATTTACGTACATGCCATCCCCAGCGGCAATGGGTTAATTTGTCAACATAATAGTAATCATGTGTGACAGTGTCATGGTCTTGATTCTTATAGCTTTAGGGGAGAAAACAACATTGATCCAAGAAATTAATGGATTGGCATATCATATTGGGGTTCTGTAGGCATGCTTATTGACTCCTTGATGGTCAAGCATATGTGGAGCTATCTGTGAGTTTCAAAAGAGTTACGTTTAGATCATTTTCAAGATGTAGAATCATTTTTCAGTCCCTCTTTATACTGTTACTTGATGTTGTATAAGTTCATATGAGTATTTTTTTCCCCTGTGGTATGAAGTAATTCTTTCCTTTTTTTTATACTTGCCCTGGAAGTATTTACAATTTTTTTTTATGATTTAGAAAGTAAAACTGTAAGAAAATAAATTTAAAAGGAAATTGTGGAAATTGGAGAACTATAGCAAGGCAACACATTCAAACACAAATTTTCAAAATGGAGGTTGTGGCCAGAAAATGGTTTGAATTTTGTCTTGTAGGTGATAACAGCTGTGGTTTGCAAGATAGTGGTTGATGCAGCTCCATCAGTTTTCTTGCAGTTGCCATCCTAATTTCCGCACATACGCCAATAATACCTTCCAGTAATACTGCTATTTCAGTGCATGTCTTTGATGTTTAGAGTGTAGTTTTTTACCCATTGTCGCCGGGGATGGCATGTACGTACATGCCATGCCCACTGTGAGTCGACTTGTTTGATTGTTTTTACACATAGATGGCTACACTTGTACTAAGTATCCAATGAGCCAATTACAGTACTCCCTGTCTCGCCCGTTCACCCTTTGCATCGATTTACAAAAGTATGTAACGCTATCATGATTTGCTGCTAAAAATAACACCATCTATATTTATAGCACTAGTAAGAATACAATATTTCACAAAAATATAAAAAATTAGTACAGCATTTTCCCCATTCTTTCCCCATTTTTTGTGAATTGGCGGGAAAAATACATTTTTCCCGCCAATTCAAATCATGCAAGGCCACAAAGTATACTAATTGACTCCTTTGTGGCTAAGCACTAGCAGAGCCATATATGTGCAGAGACATTTCACAAAGCATATAAAAGATGAGCACAGCATTTTCCCTATTTTTTATTCATATTCCCCGGCGGCAGTGGGTTAAAGCATTCCATATCATTATTAAACCATAAACTGATTGGTAATCATATTGAAGCCATGGACAAGGGTTACATCTGATGTCCATTGCGGTACTGTTTGATTGTTTTATTGATAATTTACATCAACAACCCAATCAGATATCTTGTTGACCCAGTTATGGACCACATTTCCTATGTTTAAAAATGCTAGGTTAGTGATGAAGGGGAACAGAGGAGTATTGCTGAATTTTATGATATAACCTCTGTTACTTGACAAAACGGCTGATCTAGTATGATCCAGTATATAACAGTGCTGGAAAATTGTCTTTTTACCTAAATACTTATATTGGTCGGTGGCTGTACCGATGTCTCTATATTTTTCATCAGATAGTATCTTCTCCATATTTTTTTCTTTCTTTCTTTTATTTTTTTCATCTGCATCTTTCTCTTTTTCATGTTTCAACATTGCTATTAATGCAACATTTTGTTTTTACAGCCTACAAGACTACTTACGGCACAGACCCAGTATGGAAGAGATATCGCAGAAATTTTAAGGGAGCCTTTGCACCTCGCAAAACCAGGAAAACATGCATAGTAAGCCCTAAATTTTATCTATTTTTATATCTATTTTTATTATTATTATTATCATTATTATTATCATTATTATTATTATTATTATTATTATTATTATTATTATTATTATAACCTGACTAACAATATTTAGATTTAACTTGTAAATCAGTAACATGGTTTGAAGACGATGATACACTGTATATTTTGTTTAATGTTGATATATAAATTCTCTCATCACTTGCAGAGAAAGAACATGATCTCAACTGGCAACCCTTGTCCCATTTGCCGTGATGAGTACCTAGTCTTGGATTATCGTAATGTTGATCTTTTGACGCAGTTCGTATCGCCTTACAATGGAGAGATCTTATCATACCAGTAAGTAAATTTGTGTAAGGTTTATATGCAAGTGTTCCTTTTCTCTCTCTCTCTCTCTCTCTCTCTCTCTCTCTCTCTCTCTCTCTCTCTCTCTCTCTCTCTCTCTCTCTCTCTCTCTCACACACACACACACAAAACAGAAAAACAACATATATACAGTAAGTCCCCTACTTACGAACATTCTACATACGAACATTCCATACATACGAACAAATTTTTTAAAATGCTTAAGTCTAAAAAATGGTTAGAAAGATGCTAGCAAACTTCAAATTTCCCGGGCGTGAATATAGTTCACGAGTCTGCCACGCTCACTCAGCTGTGCACATCACTCGCCTCAGTCGCCTGCCCTTCCACCATAAACACGAAAACATCTGTTCACTGTCTCCTCGTGTACCGCCAATTTTTGTGCCATAATTCGCTTTACCTGCGCATCAATCCATCAAAAATACTTATTGGGATTTATGTACAGGTATTCTTTATGTAAACAAAACTTTAAAACAATGGGAAAAAAGGCAATGGAGACCCGACTTTGGATATACGAATAAATGGAGTTACGAACAGCCTCTCGGTCCCCATTATGTTTGTAAGTGGGGACTTTCTGTATATATATACACAATTAGTCCCCAACTTAAGAACATAATGGGTACCGAGAGGCTGTTTGTAAGTTAATTTGTTTGTATGTCGAAAGTCGGGTCTCCATTACCTTTTTTCCCATTGTTTTAAAGTTTTGTTTACATTAAGAATACCTGTAAATAAATCCCAATAAGTATGACATACCTTATACAGTACCAGACTCTTGAACTATATTCGCGCCCGGGAAATTTGAAGTTTGCCAGCATCTTTCAAACAATTTTTTGGACTTTAGTACTTAAAAAATTTTGTTTGTATGTATGGAATGTTCATAAGTAGAATGTTCTTAAGTAGGGACTATCTATCTATCTATCTATCTATCTATCTATCTATCTATATATATATAATCATGTATGTATGTATGTATGTCCATAATTTTTCTTTTTCTGTGTACCCTTTCTGTATGCTATTCCTTTTCAATTTTTCATCTCGACCTCTTTTTTTATCTTCAGATATTAGATAAGAGCACTATTTCTTTGGTTCTATCCATTAGTCATAATAGAAATGCTCATAATGTTTGAACAAGCAAAAAATATTTCTCAGTAATTTTACCTTTCCAATTATGATTCACTAATTCCTCATTCATTAATTTCAGAAAAACAAACCTGTGCCAGAGGAGACACAAAGAGCTGCTCGTAGCAGTGCAGAAATCCCGAGATTATGGCCTCCTGACATTCGATGTCCCCTTCAGAGCGTATGATTATTCCGAGTATTACAACCCCAAACAAGAATCCGGCTCGTCATCTTCAACCTAATAAAAGCCATTAAGACGTTCTTTATAGTTTTTATTGTGTATCGAGATTTCGTTGGAAACGTGGGACATCGTTGCTGTGTAAATATGTGGAAATGTATGAGATCTCTCTTCCAGAAGCAAATGCTAAAATAGTTTTTGTTTAATTTTGTTAGATTATATAAAAGATGTGAATAGAATATATGCAATGATGAATAGATATGTGTTGTTTCTAGACCAACAGAAATACATATTTCTTTGTAAATAAATGTTCAGAATTTATTATATGTTTGATCCTTTCTCATTAATACCCAAAAAGCCTCTGTGAATATGCATAGGCCATGTAGCTGATGTAACAAAATGAAAACCTTTGTGCTCTTAATTCACATGACCAGAGGTTAATACATACATATCTCAAAAGATACTGTATAAGGTTTGATACCTAAATACTGAGGTTTGTGGTGCTTAGCCCCTTCTCTGGTTGGCAGCATGCGTGTGTACAGTTGTGGATATCTAGGACCTGTGCGACTGACTGAGCTAGAAATATGCCAGACTAAGGTGGTGGTGGATAAGGAGCTTTTCTGTAGCAGACAGTAAACAATGGCCAGTAACTAAATGTCAGCATCTGGACCACAGTGCTACAAGGGTTAGTCAGATGAACTGAACCTAAGAATATGTCAGCTAAACTCCAAGCAGGGATTTTGAATTAAAGTTATTTTTTCACTTTTGATCAATTGCACAGCATGCCAGATAAAAGGAACTGTAGATGACATATGTCAATTATAGCAAATATAGCTATAGATCTATATTTATAAGTGTTAAAAGTCTTGAAAATAGATGATTAATTCAAATGTAGATCAAGAATGGTAACACTTGTGTAAACTAAGATAAGTTACTTTGAATGTATCAATGAAACATTTATTTACAATATTGTGAACAAACTATCAGACATTTACAAATACCCATTAGTTACAGATTACATGTAGATGCTGAAGTAAAGCCCTGAGTATTTTATATAGTTAACCCATTCGCCACACGTGGCAAGAATAGATGCCATACCCACTTTGATACACGTTTATTTATTGTATTTACACATAGATGGCTCTACAAGTTCTTAATCACCAAATAGCCAGTTATCAAGAACTACCTATTTCACCTGTTTACCCTTTTCCTTCACTTTAGGAAGGGTTTTTTTTTTATCATTTCATTGTGTAAAATATTCTAATGACAATTCAATAATCATAGCATCAATAACAATAACAACAGTATCGAAAGCAATGGTATTAATTTTCCCGCCAATTCAATGAATGGGAAAATCAGGGTCGGTAACTAGGGCCTACTGATAGACTCCTTGCCGGCTGAGCCCATGTGGAGCCACCTGTATGTAACAAAATTCATCAAAAACTACAGGGGACAGAACATAAATCCGTGGCGAATGGGTTAATAACTAAATATTAAAGTTTCGAAAATGAGGAGAAAAAAGTCTTTAGGATAAAAAACAAAACAAAATATCCACTTGACTAAACCTGAATGCATCATACATATTGAAAACATGAGGAATTGATTATAAAAAAATCAAAACCTGGAAATAACTTTTAAAACAGAGACTTCTCACTCCTAAATGTTGAAGAAATTGAAAGGAAAACTAAGCAAACTAGTTTAAAGATTCTCTTTCTCTTGCTCTCATTCTCTCTCTCTCATTCTTTCTCTCTCTCTCTCTGTCTCTCTCTCTCTGTCTCTGTCTCTCTCTCTCTCTCTCTCTCTCTCTCTCTCTCTCTCTCTCTCTCTCTCTCTCTCTCTCTCTCTCTCTCTCTCTCTCTCTCTCTCTCAATGTAGGGGCTAATCCTTATCTTAAACCTCAGCCCTCGTTTCATCTAATTTTGCATGGTCTTCTCCTCCTTTCCTTTTCCTTCTTTTCTTCATCCTTTTCTTCTGTCTACCTCCTAAGGTATATGAGCCATGCTAAGAGGATGAAAGGCTGGCTTTGTGTCAGTCATGAATGGCTTCTGGGAGCCATGGGTATGATATTCCCTTAGTTAATCGCCTAACCCTTACCCTGAGGTGTAGGCTGTTTCCTCTCCCCATTTATTTCAGGCTCACCATGACCAATAATGAAGATGTGTTTTTCTTATTAGAGGCTTTAAGGCCTGTCCCTTCAGCAAGTATCGTATCTAAACTTGATTTCATTGGTTTCCCGACCCCTGCCTCTCCTTTGACCCTGGCTCCGACTGATGATACTAATAGCCCCTCCTCTAAGTTTGCGGTCAACTCTATCCATTCCAAATCATCCACCTAGGTCATTACTCAACCTTCAAAATACTCGTCTTCATCTCTCCCAACATCCTCCACTTCATCTTCTACTGCACAGGCTTCATTGTCTACCCCTACCCCCTTTATTACTACTTTTCATCCTTACTGTCCTCCTTCAACAGTACTTCCTCTCATTATACCTTCCTCCTGCCTTCATCCTTCTACTGCTTCCACCTCTGCAAACATTTTTAGTACCCTTTTTGGTGCAGCCAAATGGGATTGATTCATTATAATTCCCTCAACAATACCCTGCTCTTCCAGGAATGTCTCAAAAAAACAGGTAGGTAAAGTTTCCTTTCGCTGTCGTTCCTATTGTCTACACTCGTGCACTATCTATCCTGACTGACCTCACTGGTCAAATTATGAAAACCACTTGCTCGCATGCCTCGTCGACTAAGACGCAGTGCTACACTATTCCTCCCAGAGGCCAACGTAAGGCCTACACCAATATTGCCAAGATTAGCTTCCGTAGACATGCCTTCCCCCATGAAGTTTATATTGGTGGGGTGTCCTGTCCTTTCCGACCATATCGACCTCTTCCCCACCAATGTCAGAAATGTTAGTGTTTGGCCACACAGTCAAACACTGTCGCTCCACAGCCCGTTCCCTTTTTGTGCCCAACCTGGTCATGGCTGTTCGAATTCTGCTCTGCTAATCGTGTGCTAATTGTGGTGGCTCCCTTTATGTATTTTATAGGAGCTGCCCTACCAACAAGCTCGAATCTGAGGTAGCAGTTCTCAGATTTAAATTTGGCGTCTCTACGTGAGGCCAGACAAGAAGCACGCCAACGAGGTTTTTCTCTTTCTGCCTATTCCAAATCTGTACTTCGCCCCAATCCCTTCCCGTCTTTTCAACATCTTCCCCAGTATCTCTTCCCTCTGCCCTGAACCATCCTATCTCTACACCCTCTTTCCAGTCAAATCCCTTTTCCAGTTTAAATCCAGATAATCCAGTCTCTACCCCTCCTTCACATTCTCCCTGCCGCACCAGACAATCTAAACGTTCCCCTCCACCTTCTACCACGTCCTCTCCTACACCCACCTCTCCTGCTCCTCGGACATCTATTCCCTCTTCTGCTCCACATAAAACCTGTGTTTCTCAGACCTCCCCACCCAAAAGTTCCTAAACATGGCCCATGAGAATGCTTCACTCCCTCACCCACCATCTAATCCCTCTATTCCTATTCGCTCTACATTCAAAGGAGTTGCCGATATCCATCCTCCTCCTCCTCAAGTTCCCCCTACTCCTCTTCCTCCCACTCTCTCAAAAAAAGAAAATCGCTCCATCCTCTCCTCTTCCATATGCATCATCATTCCTTCTTCCTTCCCCATTATCCTTACCACTCCCACCTAGATGCTCACGTGACTCCTTTATGTCACTACAAAGTCCTCCTCCGGATCCCTCCCCTCCTGTCATTCTCCCCTATACTTCACCACATTTCCCTGTTCCCTTATCTCATCCTCTGGATTCTTCTCCTACTTCTCCATCTATCATTTCTTACCGTATTACCCTCTGACCGTTTCACAATGGCTCTTTTGCAGTTTTCCTCATACAGTGGTCCTCTCCCTTCGTCAGACACCTATCTATTTGATCTATTATCGTCCTGTATCTTAATCCCCAACCACTTTTACTGATCCCAACCGTATCCTATTTGTTCGATCTTTATACCCCTTTCACTACCATTCTATCCCACAGCGTTCAACAGCCTTTGGTATCTAACCCATTTTATCCTTTTCACCACAATACTTTACCATAGTGCTATATGATCTTTGATGTTTTGCACATTTATTTCTTGTAACCATTACCCATATCTCTCTCTCTCTCTCTCTCTCTCTCTCTCTCTCTCTCTCTCTCTCTCTCTCTCTCTCTCTCTCTCTCTCTCTCTCTCTCTCTCTCTCTCTCTCTCCCTCTCTCTCTCTCTCTTTCATTCTCTCTCTCTCAAAAAACAATAATTACATCATATTTAGTTGCAATTATTAGACATCACAGTCAAAACAATCAAAACACTTTTTCACAGAAATTCATTTTTAGTGACTCCATAAGTCTAACATCATTTCATTGAGCCACGTAGTCACGTACTATAAATACATAATATACAAATCATAATCAAATCCTGTGATTATATATTAGTGGTATTTATAAATACATAATATACAAATCATAATCAAATCCTGTGATTATATATTAGTGGTATTTAGCCACACATGCTTTGCATCTGGAAGATTGTAAGGCCTGAGCTTCCACATCGATGATAGAAATGAACAGATTCCATAATTTGACATTTCTGGACAGAAACTGTCGCTTGTACGCCGTGCAACAACGAGGTTCCTCCAGCGGGCGGACGGGCGCTTGTTGCACTGTCCGGGACGCGATGCGGAACATCGTCGTCAAGCCAGCTACGTCTCTCCCTTGTTGAAGGCTGTCGAGGTTCAGTTGAGACTGTTGAGTCCTGTCTTCGATTATTTTCTTTATTTTCTCTTTCTTGTATTTTATCCAAGATCTTGATTCGGTTGGGTCCTGTCTTCGATGATTTTCTTTCTTTTCTCTTTCTTGTATTCTATCCAATATTTTAAGGCTAGTGATATTTGCTCCTCCCCACACGAGGCAGGAGTACTCGAGTGGAGAGACTTAGTGCCTTGTAGAGGAGCTCCTTCCCTTCACCGTCCAGCAGCCAGCGGATTCTTTTCAGGGATGCGAGTTGAAGCGAAATTCTTCTTGCAAGCTTTCTATGTGACTTTTGAATGTATTTTTTGTCGAATGTGATGCTCACAGTATTTCAATTTCCTCTTGTCTCATATTTTTTCTCATTGAAGTTAAGTCGGACATCACTGTTCGTCCTCTAGAAAACCGTAAGCTAGGTTTTATTCTGGACAAAACTGACCTGCCACCCCCCCCTCAAGTCGAGATTTGTGAAGTTTGTCATTTAGTTGTTTTTTTTTCTATGGCAGGAATCTGTTCCCTGGGCTCATACC